AGACTGACTGACAACTTTGGTGACGATGGTTTAACCCTTTGACGACGATGGTTAACCCTTGACGACGATGATTTAACCCCTTTGACTGATGATTTAACCCTCTGACGACGATGTTTTAACCATTTGGCGACGATGGTTTAACCTTTGACGACGAGGATTTAACCTTTGACGACGATGGTTTAATCTTTTGACGACGATGATTTAACTTTGACGACGATGGTTTAACCCTTGACGACGATGGTTTAACCTTTTGACGACGATGGTTTAACCCTTTGACGACGATGGTTTAACCTTTGACGACGATGGTTTAGCCCTTTGATGACGATGGTTTAACCTTTTGACGACGATGGTTTAACCTTTTGACGACGATGGTTTAGCCCTTGATGACGATGGTTTAACCTTTTGACGACGATGGTTTAACCCTTTGATGACGATGGTTTAACCTTTGACGACGATGGTTTAACCCTTTGACGACGATGGTTTAACCCTTTGACGACGATGATTTAACCCTTTCGCCGACGATGGTTTAACCCTCTGACAAAACATTTTCCACCCCACACCTTTCTTAACACACCTTCCTTACTCTACAGGTGTTTGGTCGGCGTAGTGAAATGAAGGTAATCCTGCCAGGCCCTGTAAGGTATTAGTGGGGACCCTGTTTTATAATCCCTGCACAAAGTTATGAAGATCATTTATACACGAGTTACCTCCATTTCCGGGATGTTATTTGCTGTTTGCGTCAGGTGAGGGTTTAGTGGTATTGTGGTCACGGCTGTTGGGTGATTATTGTGGTGTGTTGTATAGTGAGAAGCACAGGCTGGGAGAAACTTGCTATAGATGTCTGGGTAGATTATGTGTTGTGTTGTGTGTGTGTGTATAACAGCTGGTGATAACGTGGGTCGTGGGTGTATAACAGCTGGTGATAACGTGGGTCATGGGTGTGTAACAGCTGGTGATAACGTGGGTCATGGGTATATAACAGCTGGTGATAACGTGGGTCATGGGTATATAACAGCTGGTGATAACGTGGGCCATGGGTATATAACAGGTGGTGATAACGTGGGTCATGGGTATATAACAGGTGGTGATAACGTGGGTCGTGGGTATATAACAGCTGGTGATAACGTGGGTCATGGGTATATAACGGCTGGTGATAACGTGGGCCATGGGTATATAACAGGTGGTGATAACGTGGGTTATGGGTGTATAACAGCTGGTGATAACGTGGGTCATGGGTATATAACAGCTGGTGATAACGTGGGTCATGGGTGTATAACAGGTCGTAATAACGTGTGGGCCATAAGTATATAACAGGTGGTAATAACGCCATTCTTTTGTTTTATATCAACGCTTTTGTTACTTTCGTGATTATAACCCTTCCCATACTGTGTTAGTTATGAGTCGACAGGAGCAAAAATTTCAAGGGGTGTGACTGGTAGAAATGGTTATTCAAGTTCAACATTCTCGACATCACGCTGTATCGCTTTACACCCTTGAGAGACTTTGGAAATACCTCTTTGAAAACAAGTATTGTATTGACCTGGAAAATATAAGATATTTCTAAGACGATAATGGAAAAACGATGGAATTATGAATCAAAAAACACACGAGGAACACTGAAGAAAACAAATGAAGAACCAGCCATAATATGTAAACAAAGGAACGAACGCGAAACGGTCTAAGAACACAGGGAGTATTGCAACACCTGTACAGTACAGGGCGTGGGGGGTAGCATGCAGTCAATTGCCTCCAACAAGTGAAGCGTTTGTGTGTGAATTAATGCCGTCCGCTGATTGGCAACTCTCACACTACAAAGAACCAATCAGAATATTCATTTCGTCGGACTGTTATTTTCAGCTCAGCGCACGGCAAAATTACCTTACTGTAGCGCTTAGAATAATGGCAGCCGAATATTAGACGCGAGAATAATGGTGTTAGGGGGGCAAAGCGTAGCCAATTTTACCCTGTGTTTGGTGTGTGTGAGAGAAAAAACCTACCCTGCCAACTGTACGCCTTTCTCACCGCCACAAGAATATTTGCTCAGTTCATCACCGTTTTAATATAATATGTTAATGGTAATTATATATAAGGATAATATAAGAATGTGATATTAAAATAATAATAATAATAATAATAATAATAATAATAATAAATAAAAAGTGAAGGTCTGTCATTCCAATTATTTATCTCATCATCGTGTTATTTATATTATGGATGACACGAACCAGGTTTCCAAAGCTGATCTGTGACCCATCTGGTGTCATATCTATTTGTCTGGTCGACACCCACTTGTTATTTTCTCTCGTCTGTTATTTATCACCCGAGTGTCACCTATCTGTCCATGTGCCAACCCGCCTGTATGCGTCACTCTTCATCCCATGTATCACCCGTGTCACTCATCTGTCCACGTGTCACGGCTATTGAAGGCATTTTTCTCCGGTGTTTTGTTGAACGTCTTCTCGCCAGGTCGTGTGGTTTTGGTACCGCCCCTTGAGACACTTGTAGATGAAAATGCATCGGCGGCCAAATGTGGTGTACGACTCACAGGGGCAGGGAGGGTTGGTGGGCCAGCTCATGCAGTCATTCCTCAGATACATTACAGCCATTAATCTAGTACCAGTCTTGGTTGGAGGTGTTTAAGAGACTCTTCGCTACACAGATGAAAATAAGGATCGTTTAAGGGAAATGAGATTATTTTCCTGAACTCTTGAGTAGATATTGTTTTCTACCACATCTTGTTTTATTTATTTTAAGGGTTTTATTTAATTGATCTTACTTACTTACTTACTTACTTACTTACTTACTTACTTACTTACTTACTTACTTTTACCTACCTGCTCACGCCTCACAATTTTAAGACTCCCTCGAGGTTGTCAGGTGAAGGGCGAGATCCCAATAATGTGTTTTCGTTGATGCCTCGGTTGTTGTAATCAGTTTTGCCCTTTAATAAAAGTAATTACTTAAAATGGAAAAGTTTACAGCCAACCTAGCAATCAGTCCTTGAACCAGCAGCACCAGCCAGCCGCCATAGGAAATGCAATGCGCTTCTCTGAAACGCAAAAAAAAAAGAAAAAAAATGTAATTTACCCTGTATATGTAGGTCATAAACAAAACAGATTTTATTTCCCCAATTCTAATCGTTTTAAAAGCGCGTGAGATGTACGGAAACTGTTGACTCTAACCGCCTGAGCTGAAGCCTGGAGTGACGGCCGTCGAGCGTGGCTTTTGTTGTCTTGCAACAAACGACGTTTGAACGCGTTTACTGCGTGTGACTGTCTTGTCGCCTCACAGCAAGTGACTTGTGAATGTGTTTACAACCTGTAACAAACTGTCTGAACACGGTAACAAGCAGTGTTTATGGGCACGATGTAGTTTGGTCGTTGCTTATGGTTTATTTTCAGTCCATCAGTGTATTTTTGTTGGTAATCGAAGAGAATTTCACTATATTTAGCTTCGTTCCACATCCTGTAGTCGCTACATGTATCTCCTAAAGAGTCTCTTGACCTGGCAGTACTAGTCTTAAACCCCTTGATTAGCAACACTTGCTGGCTGCACTGCCAGACGCACGTTGATGTAGTCTGATATTTCCATGTAATTTATTTGTTTGGCATTATTTTATGTGACGTATGAAAAGATGCACTTGACAAATTGTAGCAATGACAAAAAAAAAATAAACAAACAATTATTTTATTAAATTCTAATATAAAATACAAGCACAAGAACCAGAAAATGATGGCGGAAAAAAAGAAAAAAGTTCCACATCATTTTATTTTTAACTCTTAGAACTTTCAGTGGGTGTTTGTATTTGTTACCTCAGGTGGCCTTTGAGATGACGCGTCCTGGATAAGAACACACTGCCGGAAATGGTGGTGGCTCACACGGCGGGATTTGGTGGCGGGATATTGACCTGAGGGTGATTCTCCCGAGTCTAATGTTGCTCTCGGTTTCATCTGGGGTACTCTGGGGTAAATGAGAGAGAGAGAGAGAGAGAGAGAGAGAGAGAGAGTTGTTTGAAGTAGAGAGTAACACGAGAACACAGGGATAAAGAGGGAGGTTAGCACCGGTGTTTGTTTAACATTTAGGTTGGTTCCTCCCACATGAAGATATTGGACTGAAGCGAGGTATATTAGTCCTCCTGATCCATAGTTGTGAATTACAAAAGTTAAATCAATAGTAGATAATCCTAACTAGGTGTAATTTGTAGTGTGTGTGTGTGTGTGTGTGTGTGTGTGTGTGTGTGTGTGTGTGTGTGTGTGTGTGTGTGTGTGTGTGTGTGTGTGTGTGTGTGTGTGTGTGTGTGTGTGTGTGTGTGTGTGTGTGTGTGTGTGTGTGGCTATCTGTTTAATTACTCTTGAGCGAAGGTAAATAAGCTTAGTTATAACAGGTATTCATGGCTCCTCCAGGTGTCTCATGTCAGGTTCTCTCCTCTCTCATCAGATAGAAAAGTCAAATGTGTAATAGCATCTTGTTACCCCCAAAACTCATGTTAAATATAAGTAAAATAAAATCCCGTGTTAAATGTTTACCCTGACGGAGGTGATATGTTTGTCTGGGTGGATGAGGTCAGATCATAGTTTGGGTATAAGTCAAGAGTTGCCTATATAATTATAAGGTATCTGTTGGGGCCACATCTATCGGTTCCCCCTCCCTTTATGTATCACCTTATTTGCATAATTTACTATTCCACAAGTAGCAGGGTTGAATCATTGGTTGCCTGTTTGAGTCTCCCTAAACCAAGAGAAATAACATTCGGGAAGTGACTTTTTTCTTAATCCCCGAGGTCGGCGTATATGTGCGTTAGTGAGGGTAAATTACTTTGGGTTTCTCTAATTTCCATACTGTGCTCTCCCCCGACTGCCGAGTGTTCAGGTAAAGGTGCTGTTTTAACCTGACGTATAGCGAAAACTAGACAATTGTTTATATTTATTGTTTACTGTGACACTAACGAGACGATGCTAGAATTATGGATGATTTTGAATGTGTTATTCTTGTTCTTCCAGGTGAGCTGAGCTGATTATCGTGTACCCAAACATTTCTACACATTCTCCGAGTCAGGTAATGTGCTTATGGGGCCGTAATTGTAAAAGGTTTTAAGTAGTTTTAGTGGGTATTGGTCGAGTTGGTTTCTCCGGAATAAAATTCCTCGTTGACATTTGTTCTTAAATGTCCAAAAAAAAAAAAAAAAACATTATAGATTGTTGCAAATTATGACCGGATAATGCAGGTGCACAAACCGGGCGAGAACGTATTTACCTGGAGGAGGAGAATCCCTGACATTTCACCGGATTTAGCTTTTCTTGGAAATGCTTCCCTGGTGAGATTTATGTGTAAGTTGTGAAGGAAAACTTAGATAAGCTTAGGTTACTGGAAATAATATAATATATTTTGGTGCGACAACCTGAGTAAAGATGTTTTCTCCGGAGAGACTTTTCACGGTGTTGGTATTGGTACATCGGGTCTTACGTCACAGTGTAAACAAGGGCGGGCAGCAGTATATTGTGGGATCGATTGGGGTAGAATTCACCCTTAAAACATGAGTGAGTAGAATATTGGTAACAGTTGACCTCAAGAGACCACAAAACTGAACTCGCTTGCATCACATTCTCTCATCAGTTGTCTTGAAATGTATCACCTTATTCAGCTTAAAATGTATATACAAAACTGTCCATAACTACCTTGTGAGAAAAAGTTACCGTTATTATCTCACACATTACCCCAACAAAGTTCTGCGCCTCTCATTGTTCAACCCGGTAATAATGTACACTGTACTATACCTGCACCAGCGACGGCGTTTCTATCCTTGCATTTACCTCCACCTGTGCCAATTACTGTATTATGCTTCTGTTCTTAACCTTTACTGTACTTATACCAAAGGCAGTCGTGTGTCATCCATCCACCTTACTGCCGATACATACCGTGCATTTTCCATTGTTCTCTCCTGTGTTGTTCATCTGTCGGTCTTAGCTCTGATGGTGTCAAATAGAAGGTTATAATCCATGCGTCACTGAGTTACCAAATACAGGTACATCATATGTCACTTACCTATGTAATGACACTAATTACAGGTACACTGATTATGATCTTAGTATAGAAACATGTATAGTCAGTATCGTCTGTTCGTCGGGAGGCTCTTGGTGTTAGTGCAATACGTCGTCTGTAGTACCATCATACCTTCGTCGTAGCAGCAGGAGTGTGTGGAGTGACGCAAATACTTACAAGTGAGTTTGTTGTGCTCTGAGCTCCCAACTTCGTACCCGGAACCTCGACCCTCCGGACTGTGTATCCCGGGTGACTTGGCCTCATGCACCCTCCTCTCCCCCACCTCCTTTCACCCTCCCCCCTCCTCCTCCCCCCCTCCCCCTCCCCCCTCCTCCTCCGCTCCCGTCACCAACAATCGAACTCCTCCGGTTTAAGTCACTCCAAAAAATCTGTCTATACTTTACAATCATCGTCGTATCGATTGTCTCATTTATCAAGACTGCAATTACGAAAATGAACTTGGCATATAGAGCAAGACCCCAAACAAGAGACACAAGTCGGCCAGTGGAATTTTGAAACACTATATTGGAACCTGAGAACTGTTTTTTTTTGTTTTACTTCCTCCTCCTCCTCCTGCTCCTCCTATACCACCTCCCCCTCATCCTCCACCCCCCTCCCCCCCACGAAGCTTCAGTGTTGTTTTAAAACTTTTATGATTTGTCTTCAGGCTGGTGGTAAAGTTTGGCCTCTGCGGGAGATGGTAGCCCCCCACCTGCCTGCCGAGTGCCTCCACAGTATTGACTCTTATCATGTGTGTTTGGAGTTTGTTTAGCGAGTCGGGTGTGTGTGTTGAGTTTGTTTAGCGTGTCGGGTGTGTGTGTTGAGTTTGTTTAGCGTGTCGGGTGTGTGTGTGTATGTGTTTGAAGTTTGTTTAGCGAGTTCAGTGAAGGAGTGTTGAGTTTGTTCAGCGAGTCGGATGTGTGTGTTGAGTTTGTTTAGCGAGTCGGGTGTGTGTGTTGAGTTTGTGTAGCGTGTCGGTGTGTGTGTGTTGAGTTTGTGTAGCGTGTCGGGGGTGTGTGTGTGTGTTTAGCGATTCTGAAAATACTATTACGAAAACCAACTGCAGTAAATAAAAAAAAAATCAATAATAATAACTTCTATAGAACCTGTCAGGGTTTTTAATTACCGGAAAAATCATCGCTATAACACGTGTATAAATAATTACTATCTAATTATGATATGTAAATTTGTATATAGGAAGCCATTCAGTAAAATAGGCTCGGATTGTCACGCTGAAATACCTGTAAGCTTTAATCTAATGATATTTAAAAGTTATCCTTAATGTGAAATATCCAAAATATCCACCTGTAATGATTGGATTCGGGTGTAATAGGAGGTAGTATGGGAAGAATTATCCTTATGATATATGTGTGTGTGTGTGTGTGTGTGTGTGTGTGTGTGTGTGTGTGTGTGTGTGTGTGTGTGTGTGTGTGTGTGTGTGTGTGTGTGTGTGTGTACAGTGAATCTGATTAGGAACGGAAACCACACTCGAGTGAGGTGTCTCTTCCTCCGCCCGGGTGACGTCTGGCTTGAGACCCTGACTTATGACACCTTTGACCTCTAAACAGCAGCTGTGAGGGTTTTGGTAGTCATTGTATGTGCTGGTTAGGGTAGGATAGGCTTAGTTTGATATAGGATAAGTTAGGATGGGTATGGTTAAGATAGGATAGAATAGGATAAGTAAGGTTACGTTAGGTTAAGGTTAGGTTAATTTACCGTGAATTCTAAACAATGCAGAGTTTTTCATTCTCGACTCTTACCCCCAGCATATTTAATATAAGGAATTAAAGACATAGAAAGAACTTAAGGAGACATACTTAAAGACAGATTAGGGTAGGGTAGGTTAGGTTAGGTTAGGTTAGGTTAGGTTAGGTTAGGTTAGGTTAGGTTAGGTTAGGTTAGGTTAGGGTAGGGTAGGTTAGGTTAGGTTAGGTTAGGGTAGGGTAGGTTAGGTTAGGTTAGGTTAGGTTAGGGTAGGGTAGGGTAGGGTAGGGTAGGGTACCATACCATACCATACCATAAGTCATAAACAATACATGCAACAGATGGCAGTGTATCTCCCTCTTAACGTCTACCACCCACCGAGATGAGAGTAAGTGAAACATGGTTGGAGGAACCCGTAGAGTTTACCAGCCGCGACGAATGCTCCGGCGATACACAAGACTCGTGGAGGCAAGGGTCACTGTCATCAGCATCTTTTATCATCATCGTCATCTTTTATCATCATCGTCCTCATCATCATCATCATCATCATCAGTCACTTATAGTAGAACTCGATGTTAGAACGTTTAAACCCCATTCAGCAGCAGTGTGTATTGACGAGGGAAAAATGTATAGAATTTCTCGGTACATTATAGAGTGGGACGCAGCAAGAGTCACTACATGGTTACCTGGGCACAACGGGTGGTAGTTATGGCCAACTTAATGATCTGATTTCATAATGTAAGTCATTTATGGCGCGAGGTAATTAATTATGCAAGTTAATCAGATGTTAAATATAATACAAGTTAATTAACAGAATACATAAAATATTATTCATGTAGTGTAAAATAAATAAATAAATAATATTATATTGTTAAAACTTTTATAGAAAGTTAATCAGGTATTGTGGAGCTGATTTTTATTATTTATTACGTATTGTAGTTAAATTTTCATCTACCTAGTGAATAATTTAATAAGGTGAATAATTAAGGTGGTTATGTAAAAAAAAGGATATGAATTAGATCACCTGAAGAATCTCCACCCCAGCGTATTTCACCTGAGGATTAATCACCCTAACCAAATCAAACCTAACCTAACCAAACTAAACTCAACCTAACGTAACCTAACCAAACTAAACTCAACCTAACCTAACCAAACTCAACCTAACCTAACCAAGACCATGGAATTTGAAAAGAGCCACAAAAACATTCTCGCACTTTTATGTAATGTGAGTGTAGGAACTGCCAGTATAATTTTTTCTGGTGAAGGGGGGGAGGGGTGAGGGGGTCATACACGAACGTTTATATTTATGGGTTGTGTTGTGTCCCAGAGAGAGGCTAACTGGTGGGTGTGGCTCGCTGTTATAGAATTTTGGGGTGTGGCGTTAGGGTAGAATTTTGGGGTGTGGCGTTAGGGTAGAATTTTGGGGTGTGGCGTTAATGTGGAATTTTGGGGTGAGGCGTTAATGTGGAATTTTGGGGTGTGGCGTTAATGTGGAATTTTGGGGTGTGGCGTTAATGTGGAATTTTGGGGGTGTGGCGTTAATGTGGAATTTTTGAGGTTTCTTTAGGTGTTTAAGAGTTTTCATGTGTGGCGTTGTTGAGTGTAAATAATAATAATAAACGGTTTAGTGTGTGTGTGTGTGTGTGTGTGTGTGTGTGTGTGTGTGGGGTTTAGAACTTTGTGATTGTATTTTTTTTATGAATTGTTTTTCTTTTATTCAATGTTCATTGTGCTTTCGCGTGCGTGTGTGGTGTTTGTCCGTGTGTGGTTGTGCGTGTGTGGTGTATGTGCGTGTGTGGTTGTGTCATTTCTTTCCTCCATTATTTGAGGTTCTCGTGGGTATATGACCTAATACAGCAAAGTGACCTGGGTTTGTTTACAGAACTTAACCTAAAAAGAAGAAAAAAAGAACAGTTTGGAACATGAACCTTAACGCCAGGTGTCCTCCATGTACCTGGTAGTTAGTTCTCCAGGTGTCTCCCCCGCCCTCCATGTACCTGTTAATTTTCCAGGTACCTTTAAATAATTTTTCCAATATTTCTCAATAAATTTTCCCCCATAGTATATACCATATTTTTTTCTACTACAGTATTTTGTTATGGGGATTACTTTCTCATTATCTCGTCTCTCCTCTCCTTTAATGCCCGTGAGGCCAGGATATAGAGAGGGTCGGAATGGTAGAAAATCACAAGGGAGGTAAAGGTGTATATGTTTAACGTGGAGGGTGGCGCTGGGGGTCGTGTAATGGGCACTTACCTACAGTCACGGTGGTATTGTTGGCGCTTTACGGCCGTCCTTGGTGGGGTTATATAGGCGGCAAGACGACCTCCTTTTGGGGATTCCTTCTTTACGGTGAT